ACATCTCCCACTAATATGTTTAAACAAAGCCTCTAATTAGAACAGTAAACCTTTCATTAAGATGAATGTGTTTAGGTCAGTGTGAGGGTCACGCTTTCATGACTCGCGTAATACATTTTGGCAGTATGTACTGTATACTGGATTTTTTAGTAAATGAAACAGTAGGTTGTATGCAGTGACAAAAAAAAATGCAATGATACACATTTCAACCCAGTCGTCGCATGACCTCGCACCACATGCTTAATTCAGCGAGTGGCGTCCAGTCATTCAGATTTTGCATAAAATGTCATAAACTGCGGTCTGATTAAATAACAGGTCACGGAAGTGATGTTAAAACCATAGTTCCCGTTACTTCTGAGTCATTCATCACACGGGATATATGACGTAGTTGCACACATGTTTTGTGGGATTCAACAGCCAGCACAGTATACTGCAAATTCAATGAATACACAAAATACAAACACAGTGCACAGTTTACAAGCATGCTGTGGAAATAGTATAAATGGCATGGTAATATGTTACTCTACATACACTCTCCCACACCTCAAAGGTTGCACCATCAAATGGAATGGCATGGAGTAACATGAACAGATTAGAGAGGCAATGATGAGGACACACTCTGAGTCTGTTCAGAGTATGGGTTGACTCCAGTGGTGCTGTTTAGCCTGAAAGAGGAATAGTGACTTAGTCATGTGCTTTGAGATAGTATAGAAGCACAGAGATATGCATGCTTGCACTCTTGAAGCTTTATGAAAGGATTAGTCCATCAAAACAATGAGGACGATTTGTGCCTTTCCAAACCCATATGACTTTCATCTTCTGTCCTTTTCCATACAATCACAGCATACAGTAACCAGGAACTGTCTGGTTCTGTAAGTAAAATAGAAATGAAATAGAGGAATTCCAACACGCCTTGTCTTGTTGGAGATACAGACAGAAATTGTGAGTAATCACAAATCTTTCCCTCCATCGCAGCTCTAAAATATTTGCATATATCAAAATATTGCGTGTCAAAACGGTCCATACTAGATCAATGATGCCTATTTTCATTGGTTTTCTAAGAAGTGAGATTTATTTGCTAAGAGAGGAAGATTCTAAGCTAGGGTCAGGGTTAAATTCTACTCCTGAAAAGCAACTTTACTGTAACGTTTATCTCTGATTTAACTGACTATAAGGGCGCTTGTTCTGAAACAGGGACTTAATTTGTTTCGATGTTGCATTTTCTACTTGGTTCGGTTCGCTTTCACCACGCAACATTGCAAAGTGTACCAAACATTTGTTAATGCAAGTCACATGTGAGTTAAACTCAGGAATGGTTTTCTTTAAAAATGCAGCGCAGAATGCCTCCTCCGCTGCATGTTGCCATCAAATAAATGCTGCTGTAAACAAAAGCTTGCAACGCTTGCTCCGCCTCCTGTGTCTTCTGATTGGTCCACTGTTTCGGAACTGACATTGATGAGCGGGTGCTGCCTGTAAAAGTTTAAATTCTTTTAACTTTTGACACGACGTCTTAAAAACATGGCTCTCATGTGCAGGACGCTACACGAGCGCAGCGGTCATGCACGATCATCTAGCGCATGTTTATATAGAAAAACTATGGAAAAGTAGCGCATTGAAATGGAAAAATGCATTCTGTGCGAACGGCCCCTTATATATTTGGAATGAGGGTCAGTAATTCATAGATGTTTGATTTTGGGGTGAAATATTATTTTAATTTCTGCTAAAAAGCTACAGGCGGTATAAACACGTTGTTATGGAAACATAACTGCACAAAAAAGTAATAGTAAGATAACCACTTCCATCCATTGACTGAAAATGTTTTTGATTGTCTGTTTCTGACAGGAACTGGTCAGGACAAAGACATGTAGATGGCAGACACAAAACCAAGACTCTCTCCTAAGAAATGAAACCCTTGTGTCTCACTGGGACACGGTGAGTTCACGCAGGCCTCTCTTTTCCTCCTCTGTGACCGTCGTTCTCTTTCTCATATTATATTTAATTATATTTATAATTATATTTACATAAAGCAGGTCTGTTCCCCACAATACAGAGCGCTATGACGGCTGGATTCATTGTTGTCTCATCCGTAACCTCTTACTCTCAGATGCTTTCAAACCCGTTCCAGCGCTTGTCATCAAGTGAAACCAGCTGTGGCCAGTGTTTCCTTTCATTTCCAAGACTTGTAACGTTAACCGTGAGCTGAAACTGAATATTCTTTCGTTTTCCCCCCCATGTGTTTGAATATAAATATGTGTGAACATGAATTGACTTTACAAGCACACAGAAATAATTCTACTTTTTTGGTTGTACTCTATAACAACAGATCAGCAGTTCATGCACAAATAATGAATATGTATTTCTTGACCATACATGTCATTATATCCCCTCTCAATACATTTACTGAATGGTAATGGCTTATTAATCTTGATTTTTCATCTGAAAAGCAACATCTTTGAGTCCCCATTCATAAGTTCACATGATGCTGCTAATGCTATTGTGTTGACTTCAAAAGAACCTGGGTTCAAAGTTTTATATATATATATATTATACAACAGTCTGTCAAATGTCTCTTTAGTGGTTAAACATGAGATATAATTTGTTTTGGGTAAATCTGACAGGCAGTCTTTGCTCTCATTAATCTATTATTTTGTTCCAGAGCAAATAGTTTTGGCTGAGAGCAAAATCTCATCTCGTTATATTTCATGTAACGTTGTATATATATATATATGGCACATGTACTGTTTTTACTGTTTAAGATGATGTAACTCAAGTGTGGAGAGTCATCGAGACTCATTAAAAAATATTTTGTTTAAATAAGTTTTGCAATAATTTTTTTTTTTTTTTAAAGTTAAACAAATGAACAGAGATTAATCAGAGATGCTTGTCATTCAGATGTGCGTGTGTTGTTTTGAGTTTTATGTATGAACTGAGTGAACTTATTAATTTCATTCATAGGCTAGGGTATATGTTTTTGGGTTTGTTAAATACACTGCACGTTCAGTATAATATGCTGATTTGCTGCTCAAGAAACATTATTATTATCATTATTATTATGTTGAAAACATCCGAGTAGAATTTGTCCAAGTTTCTTTGATGAATAGAAAGTAAGCATTTATCTGAAACAGAAATCTTCTGTAACATTATAAATGTCTTTATCATCGCTTTTGATCAATTTAAAGCACCCTTGCTGAATAAATGTATTAATTTCTATAATTTCCCCAAAGAAGTCAATAAATGATACTGACTCCAAGCTTTTGAATGGTATAGTGTATAATGTTACAAAAGCTTTTTATTTCAGATAAATGCTGATCTTTTGATATTTCTATTCATCAAAGAATCCTGAACAAAATCTACTCAACTGTTTAAAATATTGATAATAATAATAATTTCTTGAGCAGCAAATCAGCATATTAGGATGAGTATTTGTTCCAGAGTAAATAGTTTCGGCTGAAGGCAAAATCTCATCACGTTATATTTTATGTAAGTTTAATGCTGTATATTAGAGCGCTGCCTTTGTACTTTTGACTGAATTGCCAAGCAACTTTTATGATGGCTGTTGTTATTTATTAAATGTTATTATTCAATAAATAATATTTTATATAAACAGTAGTATTTATAATAGTAGTGTTCCGTCATTAGATGGCGACAACAATTTTGTTTTTATGAGTAAGTCAGCAGTAAAGATTTTATATTGAGAGAGACTGAAACAGTGTGGTAAACAAGAACATTATTTTTTACTTTCAACAACACCTTGTAAGACATGAGATTGAGCTGAAGAATGAACGCTGTTTGAATGGTATAGTGTATAATGTTACAAAAGCTTTTTATTTCAGATAAATGCTGATCTTTGGATCTCTCTATTTATCAAAGAATCCCGAAAAGATGTACTCAGCTGTTTTAAATATTTATAATAATAATAAATGCAGGCTTGGTGAGCAGAAGAGACTTCTTTACAAAACATCAAAACTCTTTTATTGTTCAAAAACTTTTAGTGCACAGTATGTGGTTGAATATGTCTGCTTGATAATGTGTTAATAAATATAAAAATAAGTGTGTTTTCAACATTTCTAATGAACCATTTCTAATTTTTTGATAAATGAGCGATGGCCCACTTTACCTGAAAAGAAACTGGCCTGGAGCTCATGATCTCAGAAGGTTTACTGGTATGCTCCTTCCAAATAATACATGATATGAATTGAATTCAAACGAAAACGTTACAGCTGCATCTTAAAGTTAATAAAGCAAAGCAAAGAAAAGCATCTGGGTAAGTTCAGAAACAATAAGTGGCCCACGCACTTTCACCCTTAATAGCGTAAAGTTGACTGAGTGAAGCTGATCAGATTCCCTCATTGTGAAGTGTGTTTAACCAATCGCCATACTCACATAGAAAGCAGTTATTTTAAATAGTAAAAATATTTCACAATATTACTGCTTTTGCTGTATTTCTAATCAAATAAATGCAGGCTTTGTGAGCAGAAGAGACTTCTTTACAAAACATCAAAACTCTTTTATTGTTCAAAAACTTTTAGTGTACAGTATGTGGTTGAATATGTCTGCTTGATAATGTGTTAATAAATATAAAAATAAGTGTGTTTTCAACATTTCTAATGAACCATTTCTAATTTTTTGATAAATGAGCGATGGCCCACTTTACCTGAAAAGAAACTGGCCTGGAGCTCATGATCTCAGAAGGTTTACTGGTATGCTCCTTCCAAATAATACATGATATGAATTGAATTCAAACGAAAACGTTACAGCTGCATCTTAAAGTTAATAAAGCAAAGCAAAGAAAAGCATCTGGGTAAGTTCAGAAACAATAAGTGGCCCACGCACTTTCACCCTTAATAGCGTAAAGTTGACTGAGTGAAGCTGATCAGATTCCCTCATTGTGAAGTGTGTTTAACCAATCGCCACTCATCACTGAACATCCACCAACTAGAGGCCGCAGGAGGAGCGACTCTTCATGCGCACAGCGCCAGCTCCATCAGCAGCTCCACACAAGCGGTCATCATGACAGAGGAGCAGGAGAGGTCCAGCGCGGAGCCGCCTCCGCCGTGCAGTCCCGCCGGCTCGAGCAGCTCGCTGTCTGCGGAGGAGTCGGACTCTGACGCGCCTTCGTCTCCCGCTGGATCCGCCAGCCGCGCGTCGCTCATCCTCCCGGGGAAGGACGAGGATGAGCGATTCCCGGCGTGCATCAACGCCGAGCTCAGCAAGACCCTCGGAAAACTCTGGAGGTCAGAGCTACTGAGATCAATCATGCTTTTATTAGACATGCATATATTATTAACAATGCATTTTAATATTACTACCAGAAAAACCAAGACGGAGTCTTCAAATGCCTTCAAATACATAAATGCATAAAATGGTGAATAAGGAGGTAAAAAAAAAAAAGTGTAAAGCTCGAGAAGCTTTTTTTTAGTTAACCTAAGTTCTGTAACTTTTTTATTCATCACATAGGCTAAGTCAAAGCTTTTTTATTATAATTTTCAATATGCATTATTACGTAGAAATTGCGAAATTAGCTTAATATTACTTCCAAAGTTTACCTAGAGTAAATATTTGTACTTTCTGTAAAGTGTATGTTGTAGTTCAGTATCCGTCGGTCTTAACCTCTAAAATCAGTATATCAGTCATATTTTGTGTGTAAATAATAAACACGTTTAGTGGACATATGCTGCATTCACTGATCTCCTCTGTAGTTGATTTCTGTCTGTTTCCTAACTTTGAATCGAATGCATTGGCAAATAACACTGGATCTTGACCGATGGTCACTCGACAGGCTGTTGACGGAGAACGAGAAGAGACCGTTTGTGGAGGAAGCCGAAAGACTGAGAGTTCAGCACAAGAAAGATCACCCGGATTACAAATACCAGCCGAGGCGCCGGAAGAGTGTGAAGCCCGGTCCGAGCGAGTCTGAGCTGACCCATCACGTGTATAAAGCTGAACCTGGGATGGGGCGACTGGCAGGTCCAGTCACTGATCACACAGGTGAGATGCGTTTGGAGACATCTCTGCGAAATACTATATGTTGAAGCCGTGGGTTACAGTGAATTTATAACAGCTAAGGGGTTTTAACAACGCCCCTTAGCTGTTATAAAATCACTGTAAACCACGGCTTCACGAGGCTTATTGCTTTAATTTAAAAAAAATGGATCCTTATGACTGGTTTTGTGCTCCAGGGCCACGTATAGTGATCAACCGATATAGATTTTTTTTTATAACTGATACCGATACCAATTATTTGCATGTTTATGTGCCCGATAACCGATATGCAGAACCGATATTTATTTACTGTTATAAAGTAAATAAATGACTAAGTGAAGCAAGTCCATACTTCACTTTGGTTTTCCTCCTTTCAGTCATCTTAAAAAAAGTGCTGAAAATTAGCAGTCTTTCATGTTAAATTTAATCTTCATATTACAACAATAAAAAAACATTTTATTTAAAGCATCA